GGATTTGAGTTTTACTTTCTTTCTGTTCATCCAAAACTGGTCATTATTCCATTTAAATGCTACAGGACCTGACAAGCTCAGACCAAATTCACCCAGTAGAAGAAAGTTAGAAAGTTATTCTATTATACACTGGACTTGAGGAAGGTTCGTGAGGTTTGTCTTGTCAAACAAAATGTGCCTGAGTTTCTGTTAAACAAATTAAAAAAGTGTCTTGGTGTTCCAGATTCCTAGTATGAGGGTTAAGGTATGTGGGCAGGCAGTGTATATTACTTTTAGTTGAGCTGATAAATGGGATGCATTTTACTCTTGCTCCATTTCCACAGATTCTGATTAATGCAAAGACTACAAACAAGCATGACCTTTCCATTCTCTTCTGTCTTCCTTTCCATAACAGGTTCTTTTCTCTGTTAGCAAACTCTGGAAGAACCTCCCCCCTTCACTAGCAGTTGTCTGGCGCTGTCTCCCAAATAGCGATCATTTAGAACACCTTGTCTGGCTCCTGCTTTTTGCTGCTACCTTACTGCATATGCACAGGGAAAGGAGCAGAAAAAACTTAGAGCTGACCAATTTTTCAAGTACACTTTCATAAACTCAAATAAAAACCCTAATATTTTTTCCTCTAACTCTTTAGAGCAAGCACTGTGTATTATTCAAGGTCATTATTAATGCAGCAGCTGCTAGAGAGAGATTTTACTACAAAGCAAAGGAGGGAAAAGTGGGAGAAACACAGATGATATGCTCCTGAGACTTTCCCTTTTATTGCACTGGATCAGTGATCACAGTTTAGATGGCTGCTGGTGAGCATCTGTTTACAAATTAGCTGCATCAGTTAAGTGAAAAGATTATTAATGGTAAAAGCTGAAAAATCACAGGAGGGTGTCTATTTCAAGGTACAGTCTTGTTATATAACTTACAAAGTTTGATTTGATATATTTGACATTAATATAATTGTTGATGTCCAACAGCAGTAGCAAAGTCCTTCAACAGACTGCCAAAATAAGCTGCACCAAACCAATCTGAATGCAAAGGCTGTGCATTCTGGAGCTGGTTGCAATACTGTGGATACAGTAACCATCCAATAATGAAGTGCCTTCAGCCAAATACAATTGGCTTTGTAGATACAACTAAATTAAAAAAGCAACACTGAGGACTAAAGGTACTACAAAGGAACAAGGGGATGATGACTAAAAATATTATCAATTCTTAAGGGCTCTAAGACACCTAGGTAGAAATCCTTCACAGGCTGACTTAAGGATGACATGCATGTTTGTGAGTAACACATACTTCACTATGAAAATACTTGAAAAATGACATTTTTTTTCCCTTTAAAGAGACAACAGTATGATTTACCATTAGCAAGTTGCAATGCTTGGGAATAGAGAAATCGTCTGCCCAAAGGGCATCAAAGAAATAAGTAGTAGAACCAAGTACAGAGTTAGTCTCTTGGCAATTTCAGCTGACACTTCTAAATCAGCTCATTTGCCCTTTTTGTTCTATTTTGTCCCCTGGGGATTAAAAGTACTTCAATCTCTAGTGTGGTCAATCGGGTACATCTTAGGTCATTATTATTACTTTAAAAAAGAAAAACACACTGTAGAAAAACAGAGTAGATTTTCCCCATTAAGAGTAATTGGCACCATCAGTGAAGAGTCAGCACTTACCCTGTAATGGTCAATTCGACAAGCACATATCTAAGTGCCAAACCACAAGCCCTTACAATTCTTATAAACTCAGTTAATTGCTTCTTTTCGGGTTGAGGTCAGGCTTATTTTTATGACTGAATTAAACTTCCACATTAAAAATAACTTAGATAATTTCTGTTCCTTAAAATTTTACAGATGAGTTGTAGGCTGAAACATGAACATTTTTTAAGTACATATTGAAAAGCAAACAATGTAACAGCAACTGTACATTGCACACAGCTATTCTGGGCACAAGCTCTACTCTTCTGCACTGAAATAACTTCAAATCTGGTACAATTTCGCTGAATCCACCCATCATCCCCATTTTATTTTCTTGATGGAGATTTGTTGCAGCAAGCCAAAATCTTTCAAATCTTCCACAGAAAATCATTTTCCATTTGTGAAAAATGTGCATGGGTTTTTTTGGTTGTTGGTTTTTGGGGGTTTGCTTTGTGGGGCTTCTTTTTTGGGGGGGGGGGGTGATGGTGGTGGTGGTCTGGTTTTATTTTGTTTTTTTGATTGGCAATTTGTAATTGTAACTAGTTTAAACTTGAAACTGCTGATTCCAGATAATAGCTTTACACTTATTAATACAGTGAAAGCAAATGCTGCCTGACCTTATCCTGCCTTGTGTTATCCCACTATCCATAAAGCAGCCCTCTTTATTCCCACCAAAATGGTATTGGAGTTGTATTCCCTATGCGAAACAGTGAAAATATTGCACCACAAAATGTGACTTTGTTTGTTTCTTTGTTTTAATGCATGGTAGTGCCGTTTGCTTCTTACTAGTTCTTTGTTTTACTGAAAAATGAGTTGACTGAATCAGTTAGGTGTTTTCACTCTGAAGAACAGGAGGCTCAGGGGGGTCCTCAACAGAATTTTCCAGTGCTTAAAGGGCAGCTACAAAAGACGATGGAAGCTGTCTTCAAAAGGAGCGACACTGGAGAGGACAAAGGGCAATGGGTACAAGTTGAATGGGGAAAGGTTTCATTTTAGTATAAGAAAGACATTTTTTACAGTGAAAAAAATCAATCACTGGAAAAACCTCCCCAGGGATGTGGTGAAGTCCCCATCACTGGAGGTTTTCAAGATGCAACTGGACAGGGTTCTAGTTAATCCCAACTAGGCTCTCTTTCCCATTAAAGGATGGACTAGACGATCTTCTGAGGTTCCTCCTAACCTGGGCTGTTTTATGATTGTGTGAATCTGTCTCCTTAAATCACAATTTGCATGCTTTGCTTGCACAAGTAGTTCACAGCAATGGTAGATGAGGAATGCAAATAGACCTGAAATTTTTCAGGATAGAGTAGAACATACTCTTAAAATATGTGAACCAAGGTCTACTTTACATTGCTCTTACAGGTATGCTGCTGATATGAGAATTAGATGGATAGGATAACTGTCAGTGCAAACACAGGTATTATTTATTTCTGCACCAGAAAATTGTATAGCTTCACAGGAGCTCTGTAACAGGACCCTACCGGGGGAATTTTAAAACAGAGTCATAGTAAAACCCTGATATACTGGTGAAAAGCAGAGAGGAGATACTGCAAATTTAAATTATAGTGACAAGAGTTCACAAAAATTTAGGGCTTCTCCACAGGAAAATCTAGAACTGGAACAAAAAGTCACACTCTTAAAAGATTTTATAAAACAGAGTCTTTTCAGAGGTTTTCTCATGTGAATAGTTCTTACCCACCATTTGTCAGGTTTACTGCTATCTGGTAATTCTGAGCACTCCCCAAAGGCAGCATTTAGAGTGAGTGGCTTTCTGAAGATTTGCATTCAGCCAGCTCCAGATAGCTGACTTTGGACTACGAATAACATGCACAAGACGTTTTTGTCATTGCGGATAATTTTTTCCACCCATTCAATCTGAGATAATAAAACCCATCTTAAATGACTGTGGTGTTCTGGCTACACATGTTATTATTTTATGTGTTTGCTTAATTTTAATTGGATATCAGCACAGGAAACCATTTTTTCCATTTAGTTTAAGGTTTCTTCTATTCCAAATTTTGCAACACTCAGATAATCTGAAAGAAAGCCTCCCATAGTATTGCAGTTCTGGTTTTACAAATGAAGGTTAAGCTTCCAGACCAAATAAATATAGTACAACAATCTTTCCAACTCTGATAAATACAGATAGGTGAGTGTCTAGTAGCTGACAAGTGAGAAATATATCCCACATAGGTCTCCTCCAACCTTCAGGAAGCAAACATATGAGACTCTGTATAAAGTTACATAAAATTGGAAGCTGTTAGTGATCTCTTTCATGTAACATATCGATATGTTGTGAGCTGGCTACCTCCAAACACTGAATTATGAATTTATAACAGTTCCTCATTATTCAAGTCACACTTTTAAACACAGTGATTTTACTTTTTGGTGGAAATACACAATGATCATCCTTTCATTTCTAAAATGACAGAAAAGAAAAAAAAAACAAATTTTTTGAAATACAAACAAAAACCAAAATAAAACATAAATTCCATTCCCCAAAGACTGAAGTGGAGAGAGGAAAAATAAGTATTTTTAATCATGCTTTAAAAAAGGAAGATTTTTTTCTCTAACCAAAAGATAATAGGAACTTGCACAGAATATTTTTTTTTTCTGGCATTCAGCATTTTCTACTAGAAATCATTCCTTCCCAGAAAATTTCACATCATGTAACAAGATTCCTGTAAATCAGGGAAATAAATATCAGATACACACCAAAGTGCATTTGATGCTGGCCACACAAGTAACCTGTGTCAGAGATTGTAACCAAAGCTTTACTTCCACTTTCCAACCCAGCTGTTTGCGCAATGAACTGTTCTTCCTCACTGCAGTGATTTTATTTACAGTTCATTTTCCATTTAAGATGCTATAAAAATGTCCAAAACTTAAGAACAGAAATGCAGCTCTCAATAACTGTACAAAAGCTTATTTTATTAATTCTATTTATTTTTTATATATTGAAAAATTCTGCTAAGAAAACAGGCCATGTTTAATAAAATATGTAGCATGACACTGAGCAAATTCTTCATGGAGTAGAACTTTAAACTCATTTTATGCTAATGAAAGCAGCTATCATTTTCATTCTTGGCCATCATCTTGTTTCCTGGTACCTGCTCCAATAAAACGGATAACAAAACTCCTCAGATTCTTAGCAAAGGTTTCTAAGGTTTGATGCTCTCTGTTTTGCTCTTGAAATTATAGTGGTCAAATGCTGCCTGGCCAGTCCCACTGTAACAGCACACAAAGTCAGGTCCAATCATTTGAAAAGACAAACTAGGATTTTCAGACATGAAAAAAAAAAAAAAAAAGTGAAATTACCTGGGTCTTCTATGGATAAATTCTTCGTTAACCATTGAACAATGTCTGAACCTAGGAATAAAACAACAGCATTTTTAGATTAGTATGTTTTTTCCCTCTTTCTGTTCTTCAGTTCCCTGTGACAACTAATATTGTTCTACCATGTAAGAGAGATCTACATTTTTTGTTCAGTTTGTCTAGAAAAAAACCAGACCATTCTATTTTATTTTTTTTTAGTTTTGTTTGTTTGGTTTTTTTAATAAGGAGATATAGCACTCACTTTTTTGTTTAGGCCAAGACTCATAAAATGCAATAGAAGTGCATTAATGGTATGATAACAGCCTGCATTCCAAAAATTAAACTACTGCAAAATTTATGTAGAATAAATAAACACTATATTAATACTGAGACTTTCACACCTTCAAAATTAGTTTACTAATGAAGCCTAGAAAAGGTAAATTCAACACACATTGTGATTATGCAGTATATGGGGTATGTGCTGTAGGCCGTGCTGTAGGCTTAAAAACCTCCTTGGGTCTAATACATGGCATTATGAAGTCCTCTTAGGAGCTGCAGTTTGTGTTCAACTTTGCCTTCTGATTGTATATCCTTAACTATGACTTTTGCTGTAGTTATTTTCAATTCATTTCACTGGCTACCTTTAAAAGCATATTCAGTTACCTAAATCATAGGATCATAGAATCATAGAATGGTTTCGGTTGGAAGGGACCTTCAAGATCATCTAGTTCCAACCTCCTGCCATGGACAGGTACACCTTTCATGAGACCAGGTTGTTCAAAGCAGATTCCTTTGTTTCATATCAAAGAGGATGGACATAGAGAAGAACACCTAAGAAAACCAAAAGTGGTTAACTGAGCATAGGCAGTCTTTAAAAAAATTACATCAGGAAGTCTCACTTACTAGTGAGAAAGCATATTGAAGAAGGGTATGGTATAGGAAGGACAGACATGCACCAATGAGAGCGTTACTGCTCTCAGTACCGGTGGTGTTGATGTACTACCAATGTTTCAAACTTCGTCTTGTGGCTAAGCTCTTGACATCTGGTGCTAGAGATCTATCCTTACCACTCCAGTCTCCTTTTTCTGTATCCCTTCATTTACTGCCTATCCATTTCTTTCTAAATTCCTTCCTTATTTTAAGGTTCCATATTGTTGCTCACCACTTAACACCTTCAATACCAGAATCCCTGCTGTCTTTCACATTGAGTATCCTTCCAACCTCACCTCCTAATTCCTTCTACTCCTCTTGGTCATGCAGTTGTGATACACTGCACTCTATGTGCCAAGTCACAAGCTGAAGTCAGTCTTGTTTTTCAGACTGAAACCTGCAGTGTGACCATGAAGTACCAAATAAATCATAAAGCAGCTATACTAACAAAAAGACAAACACATTTAGTATTTAAACAACTTTAAATGACCAAATTGGCTTAAGGGGAAAATATAATGAAACACTGAGGAGGGTTTATGTGCAAATTCTCCATGTTTCATAACAGTTGTCATCAACAGCCCTCCAGTTCAGACAAGCAATGTAATAGACAGCCATGTCACATAATACTTCCTTGCAGAACCAATATTTAAGTTATTAATTTCTCAGCAGGCAGAGCAACACAATTCTTTTACAAACCTCAAATTTAAAATTATAGTAAAAGTCTACACAATCTACACGAATCTAAAACAAATTAAAACAATCAAGTCTCATGAATGGACTTAACATTATTCTCATGAATACATGGCATTAGAATGTGCAGGGCATTTTCCCTGTCACTCCCTAGACTGAGATTTCTTTCTATACTTCCCTGGTTTTGGACTATGACATTCCCATAGTGCACAGTTTTCCTTAAACTTCTTAAGGCAAAAAATATGACATTTTTAAAAGGTATTTCAGACAAGAAAGAAAATTTATTTCTTCTTACGTTTTGAATTTTAAAGACTATAATTTACACAATGAATAGCTTTATAATGCATTTTACAAAGCCTCATTAATTATATCAGAAATTTTTATGCATATGTGTTACTAAATTGATTACATATCAGAGAGAACTCTCTCTGTGTCCAGAGCAGAGGCTTTAATTACTACATAACATGTCTAAATTTTTGATAATGTTGAACTCCAGTGGCACCATTTCTCACAGCATTTACTTAAATTTATTCCTTAAATGAGGCAATTTTCCTTTGCATGCTCTTGAATGTCTACAAAATGTTTCAGACAGATATCACTACAACAAGATATTATATTCGTATGCATTTTTATAAATACAATTTCTGTACTTTATTTATAATATCAACTTTATGAGGCTGACACTGAAGGAAGAATTTTACCACGGTATAAGATGAAACTTCATAGAGTTCAACAACACAATTCCAAGCCTAGCTATATTTTTTTGTCAGCTGAGAAGTTAGTTAGCCTTACTATTTTCCTAAATTCTCAAAGGTCAGAGAAAAAAAGTAATTAGAAAAACGACATGACATTTTCAAATACTGATTCTCAACTTTGGCTTCCTTCAAATCTCTTGGGTACATTATGGACAGAAATTTTCTGTTCTTTTTATCTCGCCTTCAAATACTTCTTACCTCTTTACCTGCTTTTCTTTAGTCCTCAACTCCTGGCATCACATTTGAATACGTTACCTATATATCAGAAATTTTACCTCCATATGTTACCCTGTCTTCTGGTTTATTATAAAAACTAGTGGGAAATGGTATTTCTTGACAATTGGATCATCTGATTTGAAAGATCGTTACTGCTCTACCCACATTTTACACTGAAGCCATTCCCCTGGTACCCAACAGCCTGAACAGCAGTTTAAGCCAGCTATCACATTTGAACACTCCAATGATTTCAGCTGCATGACTTCAATGACAAAAGCCCAGATGAATAAATATTAACATGAACACTCTTCTTCTAGTGTGAAGGCTATTCAAGTAAAACAAAGTTGCAAGTAATTTGTCATATCACAAGTGAGAAACCTATCAGTTCATATTCCTTTGAGAGACCTTGTGGCCAATTCTATTCCTAAAAAAGAATAATAAAGGTATTATCTTGTATAGCTTGCTGCTTGATGTGTTGTTTGTTGTTTGGTGTTTTTTTTTAACTGCTACTTTTGACATTAAATCAACAAAACAATTTCATTTGATTATTCCTGTGCTCTCTTCTAAGGTTTATTACTTATGCAAATGTGTTTCTGAAAACAAAACCATTACTATTATTTCTTATCTCATGAAAAGAACAAGGTAGCAAAGGATGTGAACACTTTACAGGAAAAAATATTTCCTTTGAGTCCTAGCTTTGAAAATCTGGTGACCAGTAAATTCATGTCATTTTTCATCTACAGGAATTATGATCCAAGAATTAGAATGAAAAAAATCTTACTGACTTGATTATTTGTAGACAAAACCTAATGTTTATAGGATAAAACATCATTAACCTTCAAACCTGAACCTATCAGGAGGAATCTATCAAAAAGACAAGCTATTTGGACAACATAAATTTAATGGAAGCTACTACCTTGATATTGGACTTGCCTTAAAAAGGAAAACTTCAGCAACCCAGATGGAAAATATTCGTTGTGCCAGAAAGATACTCAGTTTTCTATACTGTTTTATGTGCCAGTTAGAGGTAATGTGGGATAACAAAGCTCCAATAATAACATTTTCAAAGTAGACTCTCAAGCTAAATTCTCCAAATCTCCCTGCTTCACTTCCAGAACACACCTAAAAGGCAAGCTGGCTATTAGATCTCTAAGGTGCAAAAGAATGAAGTTGCTAACTGAATTTTGAAATCCCGAAACAATCCTCAAATATCCTGTTAATCTCTATAGCAAATAAAACTGGACAAGGCAAAGTGATAATCTGTAATAATTAATTTAAGCCAGCACAAGAAGAAAACATTCAAAAAAAGACAGAGAGCCAACACTGATATTTCTTAAATGCCAGCATCTACCTGGATAAAGGCAATAAAATTCAGAAGATCTTACTGAAGTCCAAAACTATTTCAACTTTTTTAAAGAGGCAAAAATATGTCTACATTCATAACAAACAAAAAAGTGTATTCTTTGTAAAGTGTACTTGCTGACAACTCCACAAATGATTAATTTTAAATGAAATGGTCCAAAAATAGCAGTTGCTGAAGCTGTCATAGCATCTTAAGAAAATATTTTTGAGGAAGTGTGCTCTCTGGACTCTGCAATGCTAATTTCCAAGTCAAGCCATAAAGGGCAGGGCAATGCTAAGATTAGCTTTCAAGAGCAAAAGCCTTATTTCAAACAAGTCTTTACAGAGTGCATTTCAGAACAGTGTTGACGTTGAACTACAGAAAATTTCATGGGAATTACAGATCCATTTTTTGCTGTGCATAGATGCAATGAGCCATGTAAGCCTTGATCTGACAACAAAAAGATCTGATAGTCATTCTGCAAAAGAAAATTAAAATTCAAAATGCTTTATCTTTTTAAAAATTCAAGAATGTATCTAGCTGAAGAAGATTCAAGTTGCAAGAAAATATATTTTATTAATCTGAATCACAAACTATGAGACTACTGAGAAACTTAACTCAATGATTTCTTATTTCGTAAGGAGATAGTTTCAACCTTGAAAAAAAAAACAACAAAACCACCTCTTTTACTGCTAATATCTTGGTTTAGTAACTAAAAATCTATCCTTTTTTTCACTCGTAGACCTCAGAGTATTTACAGATGGTGAAGAAACACAGGGACACAGGAAGCTCTCCTGAGTTACTGATACTAAGAGAGAGGGGCTTGCTGTTGACAATCCGGTAAACACTTACTCTCTCTTCATTAAGACTTTTGCCATCTGAACTCTCAAGAGTGACATAACCATGGAGATGTTTGCCTTGTGCTGTGAAAGCCAGGAAGCTGGGCCTGTTGGGTGGGTGCTTGTCTGCTGAAAGGCAGCAGCAGATCATCCAGGAGCAGCCTCAAGGGAGTGCCTTGGTTGACTGGGTGACCTTCAGCACTTCACCACCCGGTCTTGAGAATATGGAGAATTTTATGCAGGCAAGTCACAGTAGGAAAACTTAATGAACATTACTCTAGA